TACAGAATATGAACTGAAATTAAATGTAGATGTTAAGTAAAAAAAAGTATATTATAAATGTAACAGTTTTACCTGGATCTCCCCAGTAATATTGCACTATATTATCAGGATCCAGTACGAACCACGGGGTCAGGTGAACATATTTTCCCGGAGTGCCACATTCGCCGTATTGGACTGTATAAGGATTATCTCCCCACACAGGGTTGGCTTCTTCCACTCGGTAGTCGGCGCGTGAAAACGTTTCCACGGTAACAGCTTCATACTCTGGTCTGTCCTGCCACGTCGTGGGTATCAAAAAATCCACCTTGCGAAAAAAAGCTCGTCGTCTTGTGGCGCGGTGGAGGTAGTCAGATGCAACCACGAATGCTTCCTACAGGAATGAGGAACAACATCGGATTATCTCGCGAACTCCTTCGGTTCATTATATTTAGTAATATTTGTCGGGACTCTATTTAGTATTGTTTAGGGTCATTATCACGATTACATTTTACAATTACGCGCTGACTCAGGCCTTTGATCAATGTTGGGTTATTTTAGAACTTGAAGAATGAAAAAAACAGTTGTCGTCGCCTATCCACCTGGTAATCACTTTCTTCAAGCCTGTTCCCCTTTCACCACTCCTGATCGATTAAGGGCTTTCAACACATAGTTCATCGCTTTAAAACGAGAATTTAAAAGGACTTAATCCTAACAGAGCCCCAAATACACGTTTCCGTAATTTACCTTCAGTCTGTCAATAATCTCCAAATTCTCCGGTATCTGTCCGTTGATAGCAACCAGTACATTGTCGTAACCATTATCAACTAACTTGGCCAGCGAATTCCAGCCGCCGTTGACGCTACCAACCATGGTTACCACGGAGACACTGCTGATTAGCAGTATTGCCGTTCTCCACTTCATGATTTGTTAAATTCCTTTGTGATATGTTGTTTCTAGAGTTAATGAATCATACATTTTCTATTTTTACTTTTAAACATTTGGTTTAGGTATCAATATGATTTAAATACTGTAAAATTACTAATTTTCACTGGGTTTAATTTTCGCTGATTTACCATTTCAGGCATATTAAGTGGGTTTTAAATTCACAGTTTTATCATTTAGATAATGTGTTCTATGCTAAATTTTACATATTTACCGGGTTTTAATTTAGCGCATTTTCCAGTCAGCGAAATAAGCAAAAACCCAGTGAATAATTAACCCTTTTACAATATGTTGTGGCTATTGGACCCGTTCTCCATGTCGAATTGTCACCTGGTCGACTCTCGCAGTACAACGGAGAAAGCGAGTACATTTTCCATATACGTCATATTTTGATATGTCCAGTTCAAAGTGTTCACTGTATGTAATAATAATTATTATAAGTTACAGCATAAATACAATAATTTCAGCCTCCACGTGAAATGTTTTTAGACAAAAGATGCAAATCATGTACGATTCGACTTGAAATGAATATTCTTCATTGTTTCCGGGCGATTGATGTATGCAGTGTCGTGAGTAAATTAAAAACAGCAAACGATTGACTACGCCGAACATGGAATAATTTACAAAATAACTACGTAGATAGTCAGTTTTTTTTTCTCCTATGATCCTAAAGAATCAATTTTATAAATGAACTGTCATTGCCGACAGAAGTTTTCATTTTTCAGACACGTTCTGTGTAAATTAAATTGTTGGCCGACTCGCGTGCATGGCTGCTGTTGTGTCCATGGGTATGCATTTGTATGCTGCTGTATCAAAATACGCGGTTTGAACGTTTAATAAGTTAAATCTTCCAATTAAATTGACCAGTGAACACGTATTTTAAGTATAAATCATGATAACAGAGAAACTGTTACTAGAATTCACTTCGAATATCTTCCCTGGAAAAATGATTAAACCCAGTTTGTTTTATCTTTTAAATTAGAAGCTATTTAAAGAAAATCATTAATAGGTAGAGAATTTGTAGTTTTACGTTAAACAAAACAATTTGGACTGAATTTGTAAAATTTATTTTCAAAGTTACCGATCGACGTTTTCCCCGCATATTACGTAATTTCAAGTGAATTTATCTTGTCCGTAGTCGCTTACTCACTCTGTGGCGTATCGGCCCGATGTAAGAAACCACACCAGTCTCAGAGTCAAGTTTATTGATAATGAAGATCAGTTTCTCATAAACAAACAACAATTTATGTCAAAACAATCATTTGCGGTAAATTGATCGAAAAATTTTCAATTACTCACCTGAAAACAAAAATTGTACAAAGACTTGTCTTAGCGTTTTCTTCGCTGTGCGTAGCGACGAGAGTCCGTGCTACCTATGACACATGAAATACATTCCAAGGCCCTATGGAAGGCGTTAATACACGTAACGACCTTCTTGTTTTTGAAGATCATACTTTACAGGGCCGTTGTTAGGGATATTGTGTTATAGTCAATAAAAACGCGTTCTTCGTGATGAGGGGGATGTAATTTCGGTCGTCTGAGTTATTTTTTAAACCAACTTGATGGCAGTTTAAGAACTTATAACGGCGCGCCGTAATCGGATAAAGTACATTGCCCCCGAAACGGGATTTAAATCACTCCAGTGACCGAGTATCACAGTTCTGAAAAAAATTTCATGGGGGGGGGGGGTTCTGCTCACCGCCCCTCCCCGTACAATCACCTCCATCCCCCGGTGCTAACACCACTCAATCTACTATAAATCGATGAATACGGACAATCTCAAATTGTGGGGGGGGGGGGCATCGTAAAGCGTTGCTTACCTTCCGATAAAAAGGGAACGATACTATTGCCCGATCATTTATATTTCAACAAACGTAACTGAATGAAAAGACGGTGGATCAAATGTACTTCGAGGCAAATGAACTTGAATAACACGCAAACAAATACACAAATAAATATTTCAGGTTTTCAGTTGTAAGATTTGTTCATACATCTCATGTACTTGAGCAATACACATCGGCGCCGTGATTTCATCTGATAGCATAGAATTGACTTCTTATATTTGGGGGGGGGGGGTCTTGTCCCGGCATTGTACTTTACGCTACAGGCGAATACAGTAGTTATGTGCTGATTCTAACACAGCTAAGAAGTGATGCTAAAAAGTATATCTTACCATTAGTTTGTTTGATTATCGATTCGAATGTCCGGGGAACAAATCAGTTTTTATTCAAACTCGACGCATATTATAAACTCAAAACACAGATTCTATATATTCCAATATCGACCGGCGTCATCGCTGTGGTAGTTACGGCGATGTTTAATTAATGAATTGTTTGTATATTATATTATTGTTTAAGGCCAATTACCAATGAATAGTGATTAGTTGGATTGTCAGTGAATCACGTGATGGCGAACACACGTGCCGTGCATTGAACAAGGTGTTACACATTCCTTGTGACAGAATTATCATGTTTATGTTACCACGTGAAAGTTATTCAGGCACGTGACACGAGACGACCATCGGAAACACGACAATTTACTGGGGGGGGGGGGCTGGTACAGGCCGCGGCTACAGGAGATAAACGGGCATTTTACCTTTTTACAGGAAATAAAACAAAAGTTCCATTTACAGTAAAAAACATAGGTTTTTACACTTTACAGATAAAGCAAATTCCTAATTACATTTTGCATTTTTATAATATATTGGAAATTGCATACGAATTACGACATTTAATGTGGAAAATGCTTTATACGCTTACAAAAAATAAGATCTTTGTACAAATTACGGACGAATAAAATAGATCATTACATTTTTCACCTTGCCCATGTCTACGAATTTATGTTTATTATTTATTCAAGTTACATTATTACGAAAATAAAAACAACTGATTACAGCTTACGAAAATACCCCTTGCTGACCCTCTATACTGAGATACGGCCACGTACTTGAATGTTCTCCAGGATTGGCCGACACAACACAAAACTACATTAACAATCATGATACTAGCATAATGATAAACAATTTCCGTTTTCGAATTATTTCGTTTTTATGTGGGATAATTATATTTATTAAAATTATAGTTTTCAGTCATAATTCAAGATAAATAAAATGCAATTTTTTTTTTAATATACACGTGTAATCAGTAATTATGAAAATTATTAATGGTGTGCATATGAAATGTCAAAATCAGCAGTTTTCAGTTTTGTTTTCACCCAAAACGAAAGAATTTCACAAAGTCGAAAATGGAAAGTCTTTATCACAGTATTTCACCGATATTAACTAAACGATTTTTAAAAGTACCTTATACTCTAGTCGCCGGGGTTTGTTGAACCCAAAACAATCGACAATAACACTTCATTTAACGAGAATGACCGAACTGCCGAATGAAACGATTTATAGCTCAACTGAACAGTGATCACCTGTAGCTGGGCATCGCAATGACGTCATACATAACTATGTTGTGTTGATTAGTGCCTGCTTTGTTTATCTTAGAAACACTGGATCGCAAGAGCATGGAGGTAAAAGACAGATGGGATAAGCAATCGTAATTGTAAACATAATACACCCAAACCCAAATTCGATTCTTGTTCTGCTATCTGTTGCGAGCATAACGACAGTGTATGACACCGTGACAATCTCTACGTTGTCATATATCGTGATAGTTTGTCTTGCGATAAATACTGATACAGGTATTGGTCTTACGATATGCGTCACGGTTACTCGTACCGTGTATGTATGAGGGGTGCATTGCATATTGCATATAAAGTGACGCATCATGGGAATGAAGGTATGCTACATGCTACCCGCATCTAAAATCTGTTCACTTGTTGTGTTAATCACCTCAAATGCGGAAATACCAGAAGTCTGTATAAAACGTTGCAGTTCCTAGTTGTGATAATGTACGGAGGAATTGATATGTACTTTTAGGGTTTACAGACAGGAAACAAGATTGTAAACCAATTTTGACATAAATGATGTCAATGTAACAGGTACTGTAAAGGGTTTAATTATTCACCGGGTTTTAATTTTGCTTATTTCGCTGATTGAAAAATGCGCTAAATTAAAACCCAGTGAATATTTAAAATTTAGCATAGAACACATTGGTTGAACACATTATCTAAATGATAAAACCGTAAATTAAAAACCCACTGAATATGCAAAATTTAGCATAGAACACAATATCTAAATGATAAAACCGTGAATTTAAAACTCACTGAATATGCCTGAAATAGTAAATCAGCGAAATTTAAACCCAGTGAAAAGTAGTCATTTTACAGTATATAAACATCCCCTTCCACCCGCGAGAGACTAAAGTCTTTTCTTTTTATCACATAATACTCGGCAGTGCACCGCCATTTATTTTTTAAAAACAACATGTGCAATACGTTTGCAGAGGTGTTACATGTGCTGTATATAATGTTGTCCATATCATACCCATGTATATTACGCTAAGACATGATGTTAACATTGCATAAGCACAACCCTAATCAGAGCTGCAATAATCGTTTTGTAATAAGAATAAATAATAAACTATATAATTGTAGTTCTACTTCATTTTTTCTATCTTCGGTACAGTGAAGATGTCGTTGAAATCAACATATAAATGATTAGATATATACAAACAAATATAATAATGGAGACAATATATTTAGGAATATACACTTCTCGTAATGTTTTAGAAAGTTGGTAATTAATCACGTGACAATGTTCATTGGTTTGTTATATAAATGATGAAGATATTGTTCCATGGCACCATGAAATAGCATTCTGTATGTTACAGTGACGTATTCTGAGAAACTTGTCCTAATATTTTACAAAAATCGCCATTTTTAGAACAATTCCATAGAACACAATGTTAAAAAAAAGCAATTTTTGAAACTTTATAAAACCAAGATTTAAAAAAAAAATAATTCGGGACTACAAAAAGTAACTCATCATTCACAAAACATAATTTGTTTCAGCCTATGTCACGTGACCAGACTATGTCATCAGCGTAAATTTGTCATATGACATAATATCTCTGCCATGGGGACCAATATTAAAAGCGTTCTAATACTAGTACAATGGCAACTATCCACTAAATACAACTATCATTTTCTCGCAAATTAAGCTGGTGACCCCAACTTGTTTTAAGCCAATATCATTATATTGTTGAGGAGTACAATTCATTGCAAAATGGTTAAAATTATGGGTATCTGCATTTATGTGTGGTGGTATGTTTGTTTCCATTTGCTCGTGTTTATGCCACAAAAAAAGATATATTTATATTTTCAATCTACTCCAGTATATTATATATTAGATTTATCTGCGAACTATGAAGCCGTCATGAGAAACATCTTAAAATGATTCATACTACGTTTTCCTGTAATTTCAAGTCCTGTATGGGTAGACGATCGCCCTCTTTTTCAACGCCAACTTTCTTTTTCTTGAGGACATTCTTCTTTGAGATGATGACGACAACGCCCGCTACGACCGCGATCATTGATGCTAACAAGACGATTACTATTAATACACCGATGTTCATTGATTCGTTCGGTTCTTCGTCAATATCATCGATGAACTCGAGGTTGGCGGACACAATATTGGACACGCTACTATAGTTACCGGCGTCGTCATAAGCCCTCAATGCAAAAAGGTAAAATACTTTATCGCCATGTGAGGGCACTGTTATCTGTATGGTTTCTGTTTCACCAGACGACTGGGGGTCAGATAGAGAGCGTCCTTCAACAACGTTAGAATCATCAACTGGAGTTGCCTGTTCGAATGTATCAAATAATTCATTGTAGCTGTGGCTGTAACGTAAATCATATCCCTCGGCTGTGAAAAAATAATAAAAATAATTTATTTTATAATGGCGAATTTTGTGGACTGCACTGATGTATCTGCGTTTCGGTTGTTGTTTTCTCCTTTAGGAGTTCCAGTATCGCAAAATCAACCAAAATGCTTTTGTAATGAATATTGAATATTAAGTTAAGGATCGGTTTTAAGGAATGTGTCACAGCCTAGCTCGCATGCGCAACGTGACCACAATCAAAACTCACCTGTTCCGTGGTCCAAATCACCTCCAGGTGCTGTCCAGGTTAATGTAACTGTTTGGTTTTCATAAGATACTTCAATTACACGTAAATCGCTAATACGTATTGGTGGAAAGTAATCAGTATTGTCGCTGATGTCATAATCAGAAACTTTAAACACTTTAGAAGTTGAAGTGCGTTCTAGTCCTGATTCTAAGTTCAACATCTGTTCAAAGTCACGTTCGGCTTTAGCTGTATACAGAAAAATTATAATATTAAAACAATTTTCAAAATGTTTATAGTTTTTCATTTAACACCTCCTTCGTCCCTTATTTGCAAAATGAAATTATTCGCAATCAAAAATAATGTTTAGTTAAAATAATGTTTGGTGAGTATAAGCATATATTGTCAATGCCACGTATACATATATACTAGTATATGCTTATTTCCACGGTAAACGTGACATTGGCATTGTAAACTGATGTTTATCAAGTAAACATAACTATAGGTAATTGAGCATTTTATTCTGTAAAAGGTGACTAATGAAATTGGCAAAGATAACAGTAGGATGGAGAAAAGATAAAAAGCTATTTACATTTTTGTTTCAATAATGTATTTTTCATACTCCCTGAAGAAGTAATTGTGCTGGTTTGAGACGGCGGCAATCAAATCTATTCAAGTTCTTCGTGGGACACCTACACTACACTACACTACACTACACTACACTACACTACACTACACTACACTACACTACACTACACTACACTACACTACACTACACTACACTACTGAATGCAATACGGTACGGCACTACACTGCACTACACAACACGGCATGGCACTGTACTCGACTGTTCTGTACTCTACTGCAGTTTTCACGATTGTAAAAAGGAGAGGTCATTAGCTTACACAAAAGCCGGCGCGAGATGGCGCTGCCACTTGTTATCTGCTCATATAATACAAGTGGGGTTGGCGATAAAGCTCATTATATCATGAATTGCACATAACCCAAAAATTAAAAATGTATTTATAGGGACAAATTTTCTATAAGCTTTCCAGAGTTTTACTTGTTTAATGTTCCAGATGAAATTGAAGCTATCAAAATTATGAAACATCTAGATCACTTCTAAATGCCATTCTTGAAACCATGATGTTGGTGTACTATCCTACTCAGTGTTGTGTTGTACATGTAAACTGTATAATGTATTGCAAAATAATTGAACAGTCGTTCATACTGTCATTTATAGTCCTTGCGCCGGACCCTGTGCGAGTGTAATCATTGTTGGCGTTTCCAACAGTCTTTACCGATACGTGAAAACTGTATCTTCCATCTCTCGAGAAACCAACAAAACTTCCAGAATAAATTCCATCAAATTTATTTACATCAGCACCTGAATTGAACAACAACAACAAGAATCAGATTTACGTAGACACATTACAATAGTGTTTCGTTTATTGGGTTGTGGGCCCCTCTATATAAACGTGGCCGAAGTCCGACCGAGGCCAAGAGTCGAGGCAATAACACACACATAAAGTACCTGCGCCGTTATCTCTGAGTACAACTTCTAGAGGTTCAGTGCGAGGGCGGTCAACATGAGCGATGACGCCTGTCAACCCAGTAACAGGAACAGTCCCTTTCTTAAGCTCAGCGTAAATATATTGGAACGAAGGGAAATCCACCTTTTCACTGCCACTCCATGACGTCAGTGTGATGGCACCGCTCCCATCTCGGGACCCGGATGAAATTGACAGTGTCAGTTCATGGGGTGCCGATGTTGGGTTGAATATTGTGTATTTCCAAAGTCCGATCTGAAATAGAACTACGAGAGATTAATGATGGTATCGTTAAATTCAACACGCATGTGACAAAGTACGTTTACAATACTACGATAGAACACAGTGTTAACTAAAATAAAGGAAGCAAGTGAACACTACTATACTCATTCATTACTACAAATAAATGTGTCAATATTTATTAAATATCAATTTAGTGACAATTGACAAAAACAAACGGCAGTCTGAATTGTGCATAGTTCTTTCGTCACAGTGACGACAATAACAGCCTTGGTATAGTGAGAAGTATAGGTCTCAACGCCGTACTCTGGTTTCATGGACAATCATACTCCCAGTTCAACTGACCGAGTGAATACTTCGCTTCAAATGCAAGTTTGTGAATTCCAAAACAGTATGATGGCGAGTCTCTCATCTATTATCGAATGGGTTTTTCAGATCAAATCTAGCTTGGACCCTTACCTTAGCAATACCTTGTAATTTGATAGAGATTCTACCAATTGCCTTATCGCGAACGTATTCAGGTGAGAGCTCATCAATAACGACATCATCTGGGGATGTTACCATGACAACCACAGGAGTTTTATTCTCATCTCTAGCCCATGTCACAGTGACACGTGTATTGGCACCAATGGATTCGTCAATGTAAAAACTATCAGTGAATGTTACTTCACTCGCTAGTTCTAGTCCAAAACTTGTCAGCTGTGAGACGAATAATCAGAACATGACAAAACTTTATTAGTAATATTCAAAATACGTGTATATGACACATAGTATTTGTAGACAAAGGGATACCTGTACATCTATCTATAGATGCACCAATGTAGAATGGGGTACAGTAATAAAGCATGCAGGTTTTAAACATTTAAAAGCCTAAATATGTATAAGCATATGAAATTGGTGCAGTGACGTGGCAGACTTAATACTGTTACAGTAGATCATCGTGTCGAGGGTTAGGTAAAATGGTTGTAAGTGGAACAGCGAACAAGATGGTGAATGTGATGTCGACTTTCTCTTGTCTTGTCTGGACTATCTACCCCTTGAGTCCTGAGTTTTCCATTCATTCATTCATTCATTCATTCACGTGGATTGTGTTTTGCTATGAATATTTTCTCAATAATTATCGTATAATCATAATGAAATAATTAACACATGGGTTTGAATAACTTTTTCTGAAACAACATTTTAAAATTTCATATCTTTTCCGAATGTCCGATGATTTTACTGTCACCATACTGAATTACTTTTAAGTTCTGCAACGTCAGATATCCATGAGATATGGCGAATTCGTTGTTAATGTTAATGCACGTCCACTGTAAAAATGTTGATGAAACAGACATAGATAAAACACACTTCCCCTATAAATGGATGCATTGCTGCCACATTTCGGATTTTACATATTGATATAATTGCACGAAGACACACTTAGTACATAGGTACCTTAATTCGATCAAAACTAGATATATTGTAATGATTAAGTATCTTCTAATGACTAAAGTAATATCTTTTAACTTTTAACTGTAAAGCATGAATACACCCAGCCCTATTCATACCCCGCCTTTATACATCAACTTTTGATTTTAATTAAAATTGCATTTCACACTTATAAATAGGGCGAAATCCAAAGTGATCGCCCGTAAATTGGTGACCTCGATACTTCGCAGTGCACTCCCTGTTCTATAGGCAACTGTCTTCGTAACGTAATTACTATGAACAGCGGAACACGTGGACAATTCTCATCAACTGAGTTGAGGGACTGTGTCCAGACCAACCCGCAGTAAAAGTGAATGTTTGGATTTACGGAGAGGAATTTAATTGACTGCACACTAATCCGAATAATAAAATTCAAAAACAAAGTAAGCAAATAGAGTTAAATGTTATGTTTATAATTATTAAATGTTGGAGAGAAGAGAGAGGTGGTGGAGCAATCAGCCGTGGAGGGCGCAGTTAACAGGGTGGTTAATTGCTCGGCTAACAAAATGGGGGAGTGGACATAGATGAGAAAAAATGGATCACATAAATGAGGTTTTGTTGACTATATGAAAATGACTCAACTTACAAGGTGGCTAACAAAGGGATGAAACGCTCAACTGACTAAGTTGGTTAAGGACTCGGCTTATGGTTGATGGTGTATGGCATGGCTAACCAGGTGGTGAGGCGTTCAGCTGAAAAAATCAGTGCTCAATTGAAAAATTGGGACAGAATAAAAATAATTCAGCTGGTAAGTTTAAAGAGAAAGATAGTGGAATACTTAACCAGCAGACTGGGGGGGGGGTCCATTTAATTTATCATACTCACAAGTGCTGGTACATCGTTTTCCGAATCAGAAGATGATGATGATGCAACTTCCATGAATGCTTCAACATGTGCATTACTTTGTGTTTGTTCAGAATAATAATAAGAAGACCCTTTGGTGCCAGAAGCAATTGTCTCCAGTTTCTCCTCTGCAAAGACTCCCCAAGCAAGAGTATCCACAACCACACCAGACTCGATGATGTTATCAGTCACATCATCGATATAAGGTGGGACATTTTCTTGTCCATCAGTTACAAGGAACATAATACTCCCCTCAACGGATTCTGTTTGGTTTTGTGACAACACCTGTGAACGTGAATATTACGACAGTGAGTTAAAATAATTATAATCCTAACAACTATATTACAAACATGGATATAACCTTAATGCCTTAATAATATTTTTGATTCTCCCTACACTATTTCCAACATTCCTTTTCATGCTCAATCCAGAAATCTCCGCTCCGTATATCCCTTCATACTACCTTTTTGTCACAGTAATCTCAGAAAATATTCTTTTATCCCTCGATGTCTTGACTTTTTAAAGCGGGGAGTCGTCACCTGCGCATGCGTCAGATGGTCATAGCGTGTGATTTTTTACAAACAACTGTCTACCCATAAGACTTTGCGTTTTTAGTGTGTGTTGTTATCGTCGTTTGGGACTCCATTCCCGCGCGTGCGCAGGTGACGACCCTCCCGCTTTAAATTGTATTTATATTGCTGGTTCAGTAGACATTTTTACGAATCTATCTTCTTTTAATACATCTGTTTTGAATGCCATAAGTTGAGCTTTGGGTATTTCTCTTTCTATTTCTTTCTATTTTTTATTATATTATTTTTGTAAATATTTTTGTATTTGTATTTTATGAGGCCTGTAATTGGAAAAACCTGTTGATATCTCAAATAAATAAATAAATAAATAAATAAATAAATAAATAAATAAATAAATAAATAAATAAATAAATAAATAAATAAATAAATAAATAAATAAATAAATAAATAAATAAATAAATAAATAAATAAATAAATAAATAAATAAATAAATAAATAAATAACAACTCGTACCTGCAAACCAGTCAGAAGTCCTGAACCAATGGCTGTATTTCCATCTGCATTTAGCGTTGGCATAACCAATGCCAAGAATTCTTCCCTGTCTTCATCACTGTTTATCGGCGTTAACCAACTTATAATAGTTGCCGTGTCACTGAATGTTACACAGCCAACGTCTATCCCAAGGCTGATTTCGTCCATGATGAATGTATACACCGCCTGTCGTAGTTTTGTAATCCTGGATTTCAACTAAAACCATCAAGATATACACTATGTGTTACTTTCAATGTCTACTTGCGCACGGAATTTAGTTTGTATAAGACATGCAGCACTAGGTATAATTTAGATATTTATTGGCAATGAGACGATGAAATGCATGAATCATACGTGTATAACCTCATCAATCTAATTTGCCCAGATACATCATGTTACATAGTTGTTACATATACCAGACAAAGGGTCTAAACCTAAGCAATATTGTATGCCAATCTTTTGTATGTTTCGTGTATGTGGATTTTTACATATGAAGTATTATACGTACTTAATTGCTGGAGCCAATATATATAGAGAATATCAAACTGTTTATTTGATATCAATTTGGTGTAAACACAGGTAGTTACTGGTTTGTAGTTAGGTCAATGCAAACTAGCACCTACTAAATATGCCAAAAATGACAAATTCGATGTGAGAATACATTGAAATGTTGTTATTGAAAAGAATTTATCATCTCAGCACATCTTTTCATTATCATTATTTTTTTTCTTTTATGTATAATAACTGTAAATAAATGCCGTAACCGTAGTTTGCTTACGTCTTTTAATAGAAAGCTGTTAATCACGTTAACTTACTGACATACTCCCAGACACGTCTAATACAAGTACAATCTTCCTATATCGTGGATACAGAAGTCTGAATGACGGGATGGTGGAAGGTACATCGGCAGGCTCGTTATCAACCCAGTCAGGGTGCTGCAAGATTACACTCCATGTTGACTGTCCTTGGCATATAGCGTTGTGTTTGTTTGGTGCTTCCCTGTTATGCGTGCTATCATCGCAGTACTTGTCCACCTGCAAGGTGAAACACGGTGAAACACGTACACGTGTGATGACATCATAATAATATGATGACGTGTGATGACATCATAATAATATGATGACGTGTGATGACATCATAATAATATGATGACGTGTGATGACATTGAAAGTAAGACATCTCCTGACCGTCAAGGCTGGTACAAGAATTTCTCTCAACTGTGTTGTCATTGAATCCACATTTATTAAACTATGCATGATTTAATAGCTGTCAATATGTTATTAATAATAATTTGCATAATAATAAGCATTCCGAAAACATAAACTTCGGCTACAGCTGGACACAGTACTCATCATTGCCATATCTCTTTGACTTTTTAGATATATGAATATAACATACCTATTTATTTACTTTTTGGTACTTTTACCTGGCATTTAACCTAAGCTGCCCTCTGCTTCGTTTAGTAATTCGGATTACCCAGATTGCGAAAAATGTGTTGTTCTTTTTTACAAAGATGTCACAATTTGTACTGGAGGAATAGATGGGTTAAACCATTTGTTGGGGGGCACCGCTTAAGAATGTACACTCTAAGATGCAGCCATTTTACTTAAGCCCTCTTAAGCGTTGTTACTATGGTGGGTTTTGGGAGGTCATTGTTCATATACAGTACATGTTTGCCCTACAGAAATTACAATACAAAGTAATTCATAGACAGTGCTATGAGAGGGTAGAGGAGGTCGTATTAGAGGTTGCCTTATAAGGGATTGTCCTTAAATATTTTTGTTATTCCAGGTCTTAAATACATATAAATCACAATCATCGGAGCATCACAGTTAGAGGACACGTTTTTGTTTTGTTTGTCTTATTTATTTTATTATAATCATTATTTCATTTGTGAGTATGATGGGTTTGCAGATTTTCATGCAATCCGTCTTCAATAAATTATTTTATCATTATCTTGTTGAGCACTTTATTTTCGGCATTGTTTACAAACTAGTTTACTATGTGGATCAATGAGGATTTCAAATAATGAATAACTATTCCTTACTGTGCTAAATATCACGAAGTCCTGTGATCGCGAAACCAGCACAATACGAATTACTGAGTTTCTTATTAGATCTTTCTAAATCTCATTTATCGGTCTATTTCTGGAAAACAATCCGTCTTAAAATCATGAAAATTCGTCTTATTTCAGTAAAAAACAGCCCCGCTATATTCATGGCAAGGGAATTCAGATATCCTTCCAACGTCCCAACGATTGGTCAATAGTAACCACCCCTATCAATGAAGTATTAGTCCACAAATTCAGGATACAGAGATGTCCCAACATGCAATCGATTATATTAAGCCCCCTGAAAAGGTCATGAATATACCTTCACGACTTTTTTGAGTTATTGATAAAAGTTCTATAATTGCTGTTTGATGGAAACAAGATTTGAATCTCTGCCAACATGTTCTTGTGTACATGGCAACTCCGCCCAGAAACTACAGACGCTGGCAAATACAACTTTGGTGAAGGCAATGATAGACGTAAATATTAAGATTAAGCGCATATTCTCACCGATTCTAGAAACTGCATAAACATAATCGACGCTGGCATCGTATTTTTATTTAAGTTAGGATAGAAGACGCAATCTTTCCCATAAAGACCAGTCTTCTTGTTCTTTCTGCATGGTTTGTACGTGTTTTTGTTCAGGTTCCATCCTACGGGGTCCTTCATGCAGGCGGTTGGCAGCAGTGTCCCACTGCTATCGATGTAATAGTCGGGATAGTCTTCGTCGGGTTGACCATATTCATCGAAAAGGCCATAACGTTGATGTCCCCATTCATGAATTAAAACACGACCTGAAAAAATACGAATAATGTGTATGTACTTTAATAAAGCTTAGTCGCGGTTACAAAAAATATAAATCTTTGTTTTGTGTTTCCTTGTTTCACTGCAGTTTCGCGATTCACTTAATGTGTGAATTTTATCCAGCAGATATTATCTATTCACTGTTGTATGGTCAAAATGAGTGCCTGACGAAATGATAACAGTATTTCAGGGATTTCGATTTTATACCTTTCTGTCTGCTTAATTATGTATATAGTAAAAAACCACCGTCATACTGACCGATGGTTAATTAGAATGACCTGGATTTCAGTCTCAATGAAGAGAGTATTTTTGTAATCTGATGTTTTTTTGGCAAAATACAGTGTTGACTGCATTGGACGGCATTTTTCTTGTCGTTACCCGCCGTTACCTAAGAAACTTTAATAAATAGTTCGGTTGTAATAAACAAATTTGTTTACGTTTTGTAGTATGTGATGAGGTAAAACTATAGCGTACGTAGTGATGTTATTGACCACAAAACCGAAGGCTGCCTGTGGCAAGGTTACTTTTGCGTCACGCGTAAAAACTTATGAGAAGGAGATTGCGCAGACACACTTAAACTGAGAAAGTGATAATTGTCGTTGATTACAAAAACGAGTGTTTGAATTGTGTACACCAGAAGATAAAGTAAGAGCTTTAAAAGTCACGACTACAATATAATCATTTATGTGGTATTCAATCGGTAACCAACTCAGACACGTAAAACAATGTTTACAACATAGGTGTGTTCATAGTTCATGTTTTATAGTTACACGCTGTAAACTATACCTCTCGATGCAATTTCTCAAACTATACAGCAATAATCCATTATTGACATTAAACAGTGCATTCTAGACCATAATTAAAACATTGAGGGGAGGAAAATCATCTTAATTGCACCCGCCACTACCACGTTTGGTTTCTAGATAGTGTAGCGCATTCATAATAGTTGGATTTGAATCCCGGGTGAAAATAATATAACGTGCACAGGTTTATGTTTATTGAGAAACTTGAGTGTCGTACGTTGGTCCTTGGGTGTATATACCCAAATCATTGAACTTTGTACCATGGCAAACTTGAATGATAGTAAGGGGGTGAGTTAACACTCAGACAGGTACTGGATTGGTTTTCTGAGGTTAAAATAGGCGCAGATATCATACGACTACAGTTTCATTGTATTGATATAATCAGATTGCGATATCATTCAGCTTAATTTCCAGATTTAATAAATTTACATATACATTAAATGACCAGTATGAACGGTGGGTAGCTGCACAGTTAGATTCTCATTGTGTCTGCTTCATATTGTGCAATGATGTAAACATTCCATTTTCGTATAAGACAATAAAATGTGACCTAAAAGACCCTCGCGCTTTTAATTTTCGATCACAAAGGGTAATCAGTTGCTGCGTATACCATTTGGCAGACGACCAAACTTGGTAGACGACTAGGCCTGGTTGTACCGAACGAAAAATTTTGCCCTTAATGCTGTTGTTTCACTTTGCTGACATATATCTGAACATCAGCATTTTGCATATTTTTATACTTCCATACGGTTTTTGGTTAGTTTTGGTCCTAATGGCTATTATTTCCGTTTAGCTACATGTCATGGTCGAATTTATTCATTTTGTGAAACATGATAAAAAGTGACATTGGCTTTCAAAGGGCTAATGTCAATAATAATGGCGGCAAGAAAGTTTTTACCCGAGTCCGGCTGAAATTGAATGCACATGTGAATGATTTGATGAACATACCAGAAAGATTAATAACACTAAAAGTGGTTGTTTTTACCTTTATTCCCCCAGTAATATTCCACTATATTATCAGGATCCAATACAAACCACGGGGTCAGGTGAACATATTTTCCCGGAGTGCCACATTCGCCGTATTGGACTGTATAAGGATTATCTCCCCACACAGGGTTGGCTTCTTCCACTCGGTAGTCGGCGCGTGAAAACCTTTCCACGGTAACAGCTTCATACTCTGGTCTGTCCTGCCACGTCGTGGGTATCAAAAAATCCACCTTTCGGAAGAAAGCTCGTTGTCTTGTAGCGCGGTAGAGGTAGTCAGATGCTTCCGTAAAGGCTTCCTACAGAAACAAGAAACAACGATAAATTGTTACTTGCTGGCTGCGAATCAGTTCATATTGTCTAGTCCACGGGCGCTTGCAACAGGATTTATGGTTAAGGGAGATAGGCTTGGGTAGGGTTATATACTAGTATAGAAATAAAGACACTATGCCTCCCGGGTATTTTGGCTTTTTTCACCTGTATACGATTTTGAAAAAATCTCTCCAATTCATACATACTCGGGTTTCAGTATTCTGACATATTGTTAGATTTATTTTATTATTGTCGGATGTATTTGCACCGTTGTTGAACATAACTGTCGTACATGTTGAATGTCTTTAAATCATTGTATGGGTTACCTTAGAAGTAGCGCACATCTATCATCGGCATCGACCAGTGCCAATGAGCGCGTGTTCACCTTTCATCGACCACTACATGTGGTTTTCATCTCACGACCACAATATGAGGATTTAATACGCCTTGGCAATCCCGCCAATTCAACAAAGACATGTTTCTATAATTTACCTTCAGATTGTCAATGATCTCCAGATTCTCAGGTACGTGTCCGTTGATAGCAACCAGCACGTTGTCGTAACCATTATCCACCAACTTGGCCAGCGAATTCCAACCGCCATTGACGCTCCCAACCATGGTTACCACGAAGACACAGCCAATCAAGAATTCTGCCTTTCTCCGAATCATGTTTCGCCGAATTCTGCTTGTAATATGCTGTATTGGGAGCGAACCATTCAAATACATTCTTATATATCACGTTTATTTTGATCATCATTTTTTGTTTTCTTTCGCGGTAGACGGTTTGTCAACATTGTTAAATTGGTCCCAATTATTCAAGCACTCCGTGAGTAATGGTTATAAATTTTGTACTAAAGCTAGAAACCGATTTGCAGTGCCAATATTTTGTTTCATTTCCTGTTAAAACGTGGTAGTGGTCTAGTATAGTGGTCGGACTTGAAGAAAACGATATACTCGCATTTTGTACCATCAACAAATATATAACCACATTCACTAAATATTTGATTATAACGAATGGGTGTTGTCATTTCGTCCGCAGACTGAGGTGCATGGTTTAGTGACGGCAGTTAACGGCTTGCATGGGGTTGAGGTTCTCGTGAACGTCCGAGACGCGCAGCCTTAGAGTTGCCGTAATTTAACGAAGTACAGTGTAGTACTGTGAACTTGGCGAGTCAATAGGGCAATGACCTTTAGAAACATCACTTGATTCATGTACGTATCACAGTAAATTACATCATGCTTAAAACCATAAACCATTCATTCACACAGTTTGTCGATCTGAAAGTCGTTGGTTCGAAATACGGATTACTCTAAGTAGTAGAGAACGCTGTGCTTTCCACTTAAGTCATGTGACAAAAAACTAGTTATGATAAACAGTCGGAAAAAGATTCTTTCGCACCCCGAGTCCAAAGCATAACTCTAACCTATACCCTGCAGCGCTTTCCAAGTTAATTGCGCATGTCCCTCCTTAAGACTGTTAGAACAATAGCGACCGATAGCGAAGAGCCAAAAAGTAGTATTACTAACATTACAGTTTTAATAAATAGTGTGAATTCAACAGTGCCCGTCACGGTTGTAACCACCTCAACCCAGTCACTGCTGGTCTGGTTTAATTATTAGAATACAATGCGTTATGACCTTCCGTTACGTGGATCAACTATATTATGCCTTACTCAATCATATATAAATAAACACCATTTCGTATAAATACAGTTACGGTTATTCTGAGTGAACATTCTGATTTATATGATGTAACCTTAATGGAGCTTATCAGTTGATAAAACAATATGTTATGCCACACAACGGAGACATGTGACGGACGTATTCATCTATGCTTGCATATGCATACTAGACGACCGGGTTTACCACGACGACCGGGTTTACCACGACGGCCGGCATACCATAACTTCACTACGGTGAATTCACTGTCCGTTTTCAACACCTTGAAAAACTGTGGTAAATATAAAAGCGAAATCCTGACGTCAATAAGGTGCGTTTTATTTTGAAATTTTAGCCATAATATTTTTAGTTTTTTTTAATCTCCCAATCATAAACGGTATCAAGTCTAGGCGTGTTCACAAGCAATATACATCAGGTCTGTCGCTCACTTAGGGTCGGCTTGACTGGATTTTGCCAATGTTTCTGAATTAATGTATGCAATGGTATTTGCTATGGTCAAAGCGGTTTGCTACAGGACCAACAAGTGCATGTGACGCGTCAGGACGCGTTGTGTGTTGCGAATTACGTAGGTGTCGAACGCGTTAGTGCCGGTACCATCTGAACAAGAGTCGCCAAAAGTAGTTAACTTGCATGGCTTCTTAACCCGAGGTAAGAAAACATGCACGAACGCTTAGCACGGGCTAAGAAACGTTAAGTACGGGTTTAAGTGGACCCGGTCCATATCCTTAGCACGAGCTAACGAAGTGAGCGTGAACAATTAGCTCAGTGCCCAGAACGTCATTGTATGCAATGTCCATGTGAAGGATTTACTATTATAGTCATAACTATACATTTCGGTATGCCATTTCCAACATAACTGTCAACGCGAACACATGCAGGGGAATTCTGGGGAAAAAATAACTGACAATTAAACTTTATATTACTCCCAGTTATTCTACTCTTTTTGAACTTGCCTTGGTACTGTTTTATAACCGGAGAACTAACATGTATACTTTCTTGGTTACTGTTCTGAGTAAGCATAGTTAAAATGACTAAATATTTGTATATTCTTAACAAGTTTGGGCATTCTTTAGCCCGTGCTAACCACTGTTTCCTCCCGTGCGTGAACGCAATCGGGTTTAAGTCTTAAATCTTACCCCGTACTTAGTGTAGCCTGAACACGACTATTAAAGTAGTCTATAACCAGCCATACGCAATTATCGAAGTGGTTACATTGCATGTTATGTACTTGTTCTATGGTTTCAATACAATGTACAGATACCAACAACATTAGAACATATAAATCATATCATCACGCATTACATCGCATATTCAGGAATAAAACTGATTATATCGAAGGAAATAATAAATAGTTGTACACCTTAACGTGTTTTTTTTTTTTTTGGGGGGGGGGTTACAATGTGTTCATTTCTATTAATTTGCCGATGATATGTCGTCAACTTCTCAGTGGGTTTCAGAAAGATTATTTTTTTTAAAAAGATGACTCAAAAACATGCAAAAATGGACTCGGATATTTTTAAGCCATTTTCAAAATTCATAACATACAAGTATAACTACCTAGTTTATAACTAGATTACTTTTTCCCCTTATCCTACATTGTGATATATGCTGAGACCGTAAGAACCATAAGCTCAATGGCTAAAGAAAATCATTTTTATGGATGTTTGATTGTATATGAATGTTGCTATGAATAGAATAACATGAATCTAAACATCTATGTTAAGATCAATAAGCAAGCTGAAATTACGGTAAAGTGATGCTGGAATATAGACGCGACGGTGTATTTGCTTACTGAACGGAATTTTAATCTTATGAAGCCACGAATCCACCCGGTCGTGTTATTTGTTACTAGTACCCGATTAAACACAGGTATATGCTGGATAAAACGCAGGTATATGCTGGATAAAACACAGGTATATGCTGGATAAAACACAGGTATATGCTGGATAAAACACAGGTATATGAGCCTTAGGGACAATTACACTGCCGCGATACCGTTGATATAACTACTATAAAACACATTGAAATAGCTACATGTCATTTTAGCGAATTTGACTCAATACATGAATTAACAGAATCTTTATTTAGCTAAAATGCCAATTACCTCATTGTGAGAATATACTTCAGTTTATTCTAAATCAGCGACATCTTGAATTAGCAAAATTACAGGTTAGCTAAATTAGCTAAAATGACATGCTAGCTAAAAAGACGCGTTTTACAGTATATGGCGCAATGTAAAGGATAGACGCATTGTGGAAAGTCGTGTCAAAAACCTATCTCCGTGATTTACTTACCTGTTAAAGAACCGATCTCTTACGATTTGTTAGTCGCGAGTGGTGCTGCCAGTTTGTACTCTATCTGAAATGTATACGCACCCATGAGCTACGATTGGCCGAGTTATCAACTGTGGGTTACGTCACGGATTGTCCACGCCCACTCCGTCTCGCCCAAATCCACTTGTTACCTAGCCTATCGTGAGGCGAACAATCAGAGGAATGTTTTGCCTAACGATCGTGTTTTATTATAGCGAGCAAACAACATTCAATTAATGAATTATTGCCTTGAGTCGGTAAATCACCCAAAACCGTCGTCTTGACCGTAGTACAATCGTGGTTGAGGTTACATGATTCGAGTTCATTGACGTACTTCGAGTACAACTCTGGGCATGGCTTGAGAATTGGAATAAAAATATGTGCGTCATTTGAGAAAAATCGTGGTTTTCAACTTTGGATCACTATCCCACAATACCCTTAAGAAAATGAATCACATTTAACTACCTCCTCTAAGAACAAAATATACAGTCCAGTATGCTTTAAGGAAATGATCTCATCTGATAATAAATAACATTTTAAGTTATGGCTGTCACTTCTACCGGTGGAATGCTTGTTTTTTTCTGACTGGATTGAAGGCTTGCGATGAAAATTATATGGCAAGTGCATCAGGGCCAACTACTGAATGTTAAGCCCAGAAAGTTACTTTTTTATTGTTGACACACGTCACACACAAATAATAATGTCCAAAACCAACTTTTGATATAATGAATCACAGTATACTTAATTTCATTTGTATTTATTTTTACCTAATTAAAATGGTTCTACTAAACTAATTACATATAGTGATGAAATGCATTTTAAAATATTTATCAAAATATGGTCAATTGCAATCATTTTGGCACAAAAAAATGATGAAGCAATCGGCACACCACTATATAGTAATAGGATGATTAGTATATTCGTTATACAAAGTGAGAAAATGTCCGGCAGCCAGCCATTTTACATATAAGGCGCCATATTGAAAATATAAAGATTTCAATTGAAACCCTTTACGCTTCTATAAATGCAACCACTGTATTACGTCACTACTCAATGTATTTATATTGTGTGAACATTTGTTTAATATCATGCTAACTTACAGAAGAGTTAGGGGGCCTCAATGTCACATGTGTAGAAACGTTGTATATTAATAATTGTGTTCAGTGAGCTTGGTGTTATTCAATATCAACAAACAACCAAATGTTTTTTTGCACTTGGCTGGAAAAATGGCTTTCATGGAAAAAACATTTGAATGGTTGCATTGAATACAAAACAAAAACTTCCTAAACCAAAACGTCAGACTCCGATCCATTATATCTCAGACTCATTTGCCAGTTAAAGATCGACAGTACTGTTACTGTGATGTCATCATTTGAAGCTTGTCCAGCCACTTTAACCTTTAAACAGCTTACGTTTTTAACCAACACAAAATGTAGCATATATTTATAGATATTTAAAGTGGAAAATTAGGTAAATTTTATAGCATTTTAATACTTTATATGGGTGTCCTAAATTTGATGAGTAGATGAAAGAAAAGGTCGTCTATTTACTTACTGATTTGTCACCTTAAACAAACCACAAAGAGAGAAGTGTGTTTTATATTTTGTGTTAGACAGAAGTGTTTTTAAAACAATAAGGTATGATCAGTTGAATATTAATGTTGTTACACCATATATTGCGTAGTTAATTATTGGGTCGAACGAATCGTATATACCGGTAAGTTCGGCAAATATATAAAGGCTTTAGTTCAAAAGAAAACATATTCCTGAGTACAACAGTAAACAATATTAAAGATATTCAAAACTATCCATATTTATATTGATATGTAAACAATGAAACGAGTGTTAGCGATGGTTGTAGTGTTATATGGGGTGGTTCCGTGTAAAATCTGGTAGCTAAACATGTGTTTTATAAGTGCTACGAATGTTTTCTCGATGCTTCGCATAATCTGGCAACTGACCAATTTATACACGTGTTTCGTAAAATGGATCTTAATCCCCAGAACTGCCAACTACTAAAGTCATAGTGTTGCTATGACAATCGCCGTCACAATAAACTGATATTAATCGCCCGTAAATCAGACCTTGTAACTCGGCAAGGACTGAGCAGCTTTAGCGCAGGTGCAAATTCTGGATTTGACGAGGGGATAGACTTCTTCCTCAATTATTGGAAAGGTTGGTCATTGAAGAGGTTCGATCCCACAACACCAACTACAACAACTTCTAACGAGTGAGCTATTTAATTACCGATAGAGGTTTTTTGGGAGGTGAAGGGGGTATTAGAAAAGTAAATTTCGATTGTCATGAATAGAGCATCATTTGTATTTTTTGAATTAACATACGTTCAGCAACGTGCACTGGCAATGAAACCGATTGCTGAATCTTTCAATGTTATTGTCGGGTTTGCAGAATACAAACTTACAGTTTGGGTTAGAGTCTTGAAAATTGCACCCATTTATTCGATTATGACCAAAACGGTAGGTTTATATCTATTTGTTTCTAATACATACTGTGTGGGCTCCGCAGATTTCTCGTGATAGTGCAGTCGATTCAAGTCTCGAGAATCATTTTTGGGATGATGCGTTTCTAAGTACAATGTAGTTTCTTTTCGATCGCAGGTATTTTGGCCCAGGCAATTTGGACGGGATTAGTTACACAGCCGGACCTTTCTACTCAGGAATTTTTCGTTACATTCATCACGGCGAACAAAGGCATCATTCAATCATTTTTGACATCTGTCGATAGAGAGTGAAGTTGCAAATGTTGACTTGTAAATGTTGCATATTACAATATACGGGCGTCTGATTCCGTTTAACACTGTATTATCAACAGAAAACGATAGTACGCATGCTCAGGCTCCCGGATTTACAAGTGCGTACATGTAAATCGAAGCTCATGTGCAATAGCATTTTTATTAATTCATCAAACAAATACTGCTAAATGTGTTGACAAAATAATGTTTAATGTAATCAGAACGTAAAAGTTTGTCAGTGTGCAGAGCGTTGTGTATGCGAAACGCGCTCGCTCTAGAAAAAAATGCCTGTCTCTAAAAATCTTGAATAGAACTGGACCCACAAATACAATAGCAAGACAAGTTATCCGGTAACGGGTCAGAACTGTCGATTACCGGTAAAACCAACAACTTTAACAGTTCTAAACTTTAATTCCCTTCGTCTCCAGTCATTGCTGCCGCTAAATTTAATGCGCGCTTTTAATTAAAAAAATCGTAAGTATTAAAAATCTTTATTATGCCTTTAAAATACAAATCGTGTTTAAGTTGGCAGAAACGTTCGTTGTGTGAACTTATACTGCACTAGCCTCAGCTTTCGTGCAGGGCTACATCCATACGCCAACAAAATTTATTGATCGTACATAAACTTGGAGATGTTTGCATCTTTTTTTAGCTGGCGAATGAATATAACCCATTTCTCGGGAGGGAGTTTATATCGGCTAACCATTAATCAAACATATATTGGAATATCTGTTTGTTTTCCGTACAGGCTTGGCGTATACTCCGTCCACAAAACAAAAGTCGGCGTTGATTTCTTTGTACCTTGTTTGTGTGAATTTATACCATAAAACATTTGTTGTAATTTGAAATTCCCAACCAGTGCAGCACATTACTTTTTCTTTTGTCAAATCACAACTTTTGGATATGGTCATGTTAGTTTCTGTCGCGTCGTTCAAAATACACTGAGGTTCTCTGAATAAAATATGGTACGCAAGCTGAAGTAAAAAAAAAAAACGCGTAAAAGGGGTGTTATTTAGTTATTTCAGTTGACGCCGCGTATATGCGTGTATAGCAATACAGTGTGAAAAAGGGAATCTCACGAATTCATGTTACCTCAACTCGGAAACAGTATGGTTTTAGTATGTATACAGGGTATCTATTTTCTTCACTTGAAATGGGGTATAATTTCACAAAAATAAGTACGTGTTCAGAGGTTTTTTTCAGTTTTTTAAATGGGTACCTCCATGCTTGGAGTACCCTCCCTGGGACTGTGCACACATATAATGACCCGGGTGTACAGCGGGCTTGTAAACAAGGCGAAGTCTTCACGGTTAATAAAATAAATACCTAAGGTTATTTGAAGGTAACTGCATTATAAAAAAATTAAGTTAGTGGCAGTTTGAAACTCAAACATTGAAACGAAGGCACAAAACATTCATTGTGCATCAGTGGCCGTACTGCGACAACGACCTGACTTTTCTTCCAAACTTAGGTGGTACGAATCAAGATGGCGGCTGCTACGGAAGAAGACATTGAGATGGACTGCACTGAGAAACATG